AGCCACATCACCAGCCGCTGAGCTCGCATGTGAGTGAAGAACATCGGATGAAGCTCGCATGAGGGTGCCCTCACTGGTGCAATAGATGTAGCTCCCTGGGGAACACGATGCGGGTGAGTGGTGTGACCGACCGAGCGAAGATCCACTTGTGGGCACCCACGCTGCTGCCGTAGATGGAACTCCGGTTGATCCGTGTGCGGGTCGGCAAACCGGGAGGAAGGCGCGGAAGAAAGCATAAGGGGGAGGCGGTAGGAAGGAGACGCGAAGAGCATCGGATAGAGAACGATGACCAACAACACAGAAGGCTAGGGAACTAGCAAAGCACGTCCGACACATCCGCTGATCCTATGGCGTGTGGAAGGCGCTGTCGTCTTCTTCGTCGTTTGTCCCAACCAAATGCAGGAACAAGGAAATTGAAGCACGTCGTAGTTAAGTCGAAGAGAAGCCACTTCCTTTGATAAATTCCCTGCTGGGAGGAAGGGGGGCATTCCAGGTCAGAATACCTTCCCTGCAGAGTCCCTGGGGGTCCCGGGAAGAGATCGCCGGCGGGAGGTCCGTTGGAGGCCCCGCTTTCAGGGTCGACACACCAGCCGTAAGGCCTTCGCAAAACACCGTCCTATCTCGATGAGTCGTGCACGCGCTAGACTGCGGCACCATTTGCCGTAAACCGAGCCTTCCGCAGGGCCTTCTTCTAAGTTCTTCATTGGATCTTCTTCCACCTGATCTACCAGTAGGTGTTCACCACACCCTACTGGCGAACTCTGGGTTTTGACTTGGTGATCAGCCAGATACAGGCCTTCAACGAGGTCTTCCACTGGGCCTTCCAAAAGGCCGTCTATCATCTATTCGACTAGGCCTTCTACTGGGTCCTTCTTTGGGACGGGGAAGCCAGATTCGACAAGATGGCGGCATGCTTCTGAATCTCGAAGGGTTGTCTTGTGGAAGCGGCCTCTCGCCCTGGAACTCACGAAGACGTACGAACGACTCCCTGCCCGGATCCCCTGCTTCCACGCAGAGGCCCCTGGAACCCTCCCACCCGCCCCCTTGGACCGGGTTCTCTACCGCGGGTCGTTTGACAACGGCGCCTGGGGGCCGAAGACCTGCCCACGGATCGCGAGGCGCCCCCCGCCGCGCCTGCTTCGCGACGCCCGACATTGGAAACCGAAAGGTACTGATACTGCTACTCCCCAGACCTCTTCCGAGATGCGTTCTAGCCAGACATTCGAATCGAATCCAGCCATGGCGACGAGGGCCTCCCAGGAGGCCCACAAACGCTGAAAAGAGGCGGGTAATCGAATCGGTACATTTCGCAGACGAAGAATGGTATCCCATAAACTTTTCCGCCGTTCGAGACGCCTGTCCCAGAGCGGCTGGAAAGCTTATACCCATACGGTAGCAAGTCATGGTATGGTGTGGACCTTCCAACCGCCCTGGGGCAAGCGTCCAATACGGCGCAACAAATTATGTTATACCGCTATTCGTCCGCCAAGACGTCCTGCTCTGCAAGATCATTCAACATCGAGTCGCGATACAAGATCCAACCGGACTGTGCATCGAATCAAACCGCATCTGCACGAAGTCGGAACCGAATCAGATCGGCAACGCCGGGAACACACACACAAAGGCGCCATGCAGGCACCGCGCCGCACCAGACAGCCAGAACGTCTCTATAGGAATCGAACCGCACCGAGCCAGAAACCAGATCGATACCCAACCGCATCGCATCGCCCTGAGATCCGATGTTGCGAAGAATGGCAGCATCGTGCAAGATCACGACCAGAGCCCCTGACCCCACCTCTGTGCGCCACGTTTCGAGCCGCACCGATCAGTGAGGGCCCCGGGGCCCGAAGTTGGGCGAAGGCGCCCGGTGGGGAAAAGTTGCATCGCCCGGATCTCCGGGCGGATCGGAATGGACCCTGGTCTCCGACGAAGTGCCTCCGGGACCTCCCGCGGGAGCCTTCGGGCGCGCCCCAGGGCGCGGCTGCACGCGCGGCCCCCGGGGCGGCGGGCACACGCTCCTCCGGAGGCGGGCCCTCGGCGTCTTCCGAGGGCACCGGCAGCGCGAACGGGGACTTCACGCCGCCGCCGGCGCCGCCGCCCAGCTTGGGCATGGGCCTCCCGTCCCAACCAGGGCTTCAGCACCGGCGCGCGTCTGCTGCTGCTGCTGCTGCTCATCCTCTTCGGTGGTTAGATGCTTGCACACGTTCGTTATGAGGTAGGTTCGCGCGGTGCCGGCGCGCGCAAAGGTTCTTGACACCGCCTCGATCGTTCAACCTTGAATCGCTCGCGGCCCCGATCGTTCGAGGTTGAATTGCGTCGGGTCCTGTGGCGATACCGTGCCCCCGAATACTCCCGCGACGTTCTGTAATGCGGAGTTCAAACTTGAACGCCTTCGCTGGCGTCGCCGGTGCTCCATCGCCGCATGAACATGTACACGGGAGAGAGTGAGACGGAGGACGAGAGGACGAGGAGGGTCGCCGTCATCGTCGAACGATGGCATGAGCATGGTGCTGTGCTCAACTGAGGGGCGAGGAAGGGTGGCGCAGAAATACCACCTTCGCCACCCGCTCACCCTGTCCCACTAGGGAAAAAGCAGCGAGGCGAGTGGCAACAACACAGGAGGAAGTGCACACCGGGCCACACTCCAACTGTTAGGCCGATGCGCGAGGGTCGCACACCTGACAAAAAGCCTGTGAGTGCCCACGATGCGACGAGGAGGGAGGGACGAGGGTGGAGGGAAGCGAACTCGCCACGTGCACTCCGCCAGCGCTGGCCCCCTGTCGGGGGTCGGCGCGAGTCGCGGCAGCAAGCCGCGGCACGCAAGGCCGGTGGCAACCCTGCCCTCTGGGGCGTCGCCTGCGGGGACGGGGAGGGGGACCACTCGTGGCGGGAGGAGGGTCAGGAGAAGGGGGCGCGAGAGGGAGGAGGGTCAGACACCGCATACGTTGGCCAAAAAAAAACTCAGACTCGGAGGGGCGACAGGCAAGGAACACGAGAGAGGTCCCTGGCCCATCCTGGAGATTCAGAATCTAGCCTGCCCCCACGCTTACCCGCGATGACCCGTGTCGGTCACCTTTTTGTCGACTCGGTTCCTGAACCCAAACTTGGCCCACAGAAGGCCCATCGGGGTATCAGTACGGCTGTTTTGGGGGACACCAAAAGGTAACTATTGATACCGCTACTCCCCAGACCTCTCCTGGGGTGCGTTCTGACCCGGATTTCGAGGCGAGTCCAGCAGTGGCGACGAGGGAGGCCCAGGAGGCCCCAAAAGGGGATAACGAGGCGAGGGTAGAGGTATGGGTACCTTTTCCTCCTCTGAGTTTGGAAACTCATTCCGAGCCCCAACTGCTGGAATAGGCATCGACCAGTCAGGGGACGAAGGAAGCAGCAAAATGCTGAGGGCAGCGCCTGCATGCTCGACCCTCCCCCATCTGCCGACTCCAACATCCCTCACCACGCTTACAAAGGGAGGCCAGTCCACAAGAAACCTGTCACAGGAAACCCAACCCTGGAACCCCAGGACGTCCTTTGATTTTTTGGTATGTGGAATCGTCACGCTTCCCATCGCCAAACCATCGATACCCAAGAAACCCAAAGCACCCTGGAAACAAGCAGGGTGTTTCTTGGCATGGGTCTCCACTGTAATTACACATTCACTACGAAAACGGGTCACAATTCTGGGCTAAGGCTTCCCCAAATACCAATTACACATCGGTCGGGAAGAAGTGGGTAGCAACATGAAGCAGGAAGGCGCTGAAAGTAGATTGGGAGTCCGCCCGCACCCTGAAGAGGACGGAAAAGGCGAAGCCACTCGATCATTGAAGTAGGAAGGCGCTGAAAGTAGATTGGAACCTGGGAATCCCAAACTACCTACTGTCAAGGACCGATGGGTACTCATGATGAGTAGCTCTTCGACGGCCCCCGTGAGCCCAAGGAGCCCGACGCCTGGGAAACACCTCCATGGGACCCCTTCCTTCCGAGGCCCGTGTGCTTCACGCTGCCTTCATTCCGAGGCCCGTGTGCTTCACGCTGAACCCCGAAGATAACTGCCTCCCATATGGGGTCTGGGCAGATGGGATCTGAGGATCGCGCCACGTCGTCGATGCATATGCGTCGGCGATGTCGGCAATGCATCAGGTCAGGGCCGACGGCGTGGAGAAGGTCGGGCTCCACCAGAGCCGCATCGCGGGTGCGTCGGCGATGCGGAGCGAGTCTGGCCCCATCTGTTCGGACCCTGCTTGGGAGGCCTGGATCCAGGAGAGGATGGCGATCAGTCGACCTGGAGTATGAGAATGAGGAAGCGATCAGAAGAGCGGCGGGAGGAGAAAGAAGGTGGGACAGACGGACGGGGGGGCAGGAAGAGCCGGTTGAAGGAGGAAGAGGACGACGACGAACACCTGAAGGAAACACATCCGTCTCGAAGCCTGAAATGCTCTGGGACCGGCTTACAGCCGGAGCTTCAGAGCCGCGTCAGCCCCACTAGCCAACACAACTTAGAAATTACGACTCTCCCCGATCAAAGCCAGAGGAGGAAGAAGGCGGCTGAGGGTGGAGCGACCGTACCTTCCTTCAGTCCAGACTGTGTCTAGGCCCCCATTGTATTGCATGCAGTGCGGTGGCCAGGCACTCCGCGCCTGTCGTGTAATGCAGCGCGGCGCTGGGCGCGGTGAGGGTGATCACACGCAATGTGTTACAGAAGTGGAATGAACGGGTCATGCGTCAGACGGCTTCGCGGTTGAGGGAGAAGGGGAAGGAGGAGGAGAAGGAGGAGGATGAGGAGGAGGGGTAGGAGGAGGAGGAGGAGGAGGAGGAGCAGGAGGAGGAGAAGGATGCGGGGGACGACAAGCCGGGAGGGAGGCCGAGAAGGAAGGGAGGCCTGGGGACGCAGCCCCTCCTCCCGGCCCGCTCACCTCCGCTCGACCCCGTCCTCTCGTCATGGTTCCCCTCGTCCCCCATTCCCCTCCCCCCCCCCCTCCCCGTCCCTTGACCCCCTCCCGTCCCCGCCTTTCCCTCCTTCTCCCTCGTCGTCGTCCTTCTCCTCCTCCTCCTCCTCCTCCTCCTCCTCCTCTCCTCCTCCTCCTCCTGCACCTCCTCCTCCTCCTCCTCCTCCACCTCCTCCTTCTCCTCCTCCTCCCTCCTCGTCCTCGTCCTCCTCCTCCTCCCCCCCAGCGTAACCCCTCGTCCTCCTCCGCGCCCTCCTTCTTCTCCTCCTCTCCTCCTCCTCCTCCTCCTCCTCCTCCTCCTCCTGCCCCTTACCATTTCCTCCTCCTCTTCCTCATCCTCCTCCTTCTCCTCTCCTTCTCCCCTTTCCGCCTCCAGACACTCAAATGGTCCACAAGTCCAGGTCCACCGAAGACTATACCCGAACAAACCCCCACACCTCAAGGCACTCGCCATCAGGAGTCGGAGGACTGCGCTGCGTCCCTCAGGAGCCCTTCTGTCCTCTCTCTCCATCTCATCCCCTTCCTGGCGCCGGCGCTGCTTGCATCCGAGTTCTCTCCAACCCTTCCTCCTCCTCCTCCTCCTCCTCCCTCTTCCTCCTCCTCCTCCTCCTCCTCTTCCTCCTCTTCCTCCTCTTCCTCCTCCCCCTCCTCTTCCTCCTCCTCCCTGCCTCCTCCGTATCCCCCACCTTCCATCCATTCAACCATCCCGCTCCCCGCTTGCGTAGATGGTTTTCCCCGCTCGCGGTGTGCGTCCCGCGGCGGGGCCGAAAACAGCTGCGCGCAACAAACAATGTACTTCTCTTGTCCTGATCACCCACTTGCGCCCGACCCGACCCCTGCCGTGTCCGACGACGCCGAGACACGAGCATCGACGAAGACAGCTGCACGCAACAATTTTCGTGCCCCCCCTTTCCCTATTCCCCCCCCCCCTTGTCCGACGCCCCCTCCTTTGACAACGCCGAGACACTTCGAGGTCCTTAAACGGCGCGGTGAAAGATCCTGCGGTGACCTCGGAATCCCCAACAACCTCACCACACGGTCCTCCACTGCACGGTTTTGCGACCCTGCAGGCCCCAGTCGCTCGAGACGTCCTCGCAGAACGACGCGAGTCCCAAAAAACCGTGCGGCTCCCCCGAATCCCCAATGCCTCACAACACGGTGTGGCAGAGCTGGGGAAACCAAAAGGTACCGATACCACAACTCCCTGGACCTCTCCCGGGGTGCGTTCTGAGCAGAATTTCGAGGCGAATCCAGCCGTGGCGACGAGGGCCTCTCAGGAGGCTCAAAAAGGCGGCATGCGGGAGAGGGCAGCGCCATGAGTACAGTTGGACCTAGGCCAGAAGAGCATCCCTCAAGAACATGATACCCTCCGTCGGCCAAAACAAGCAGAACATCCAAGGGTACCCTCCCCAGGATTGAAAAAAAAACATCCAACAACCATTATCCTGGCGAAGGTCCCAACCAAATGCAGTTGTGGGTACCGTAATTGTGAATATCTGCTTTGTGAAGCTCCCTATGGGGCCACGAAGCGCTGCACTGGGCGGGGGGGAACGCTGTACTGTGTGGGTGGTGTGCCGAATTGGGTTTCCGGGACGCACGCAGACGGTCCCACTGAGGGCTTCGGTGGAGCTCCCTAAGGGGCCACGAAGCGCTCTACTGAGTGAGTGAAAAAGCCAAATTGGGTTACCGGGACCTATGGGGCCACGAATCGCTGCACTGCGCGGGTGAAAATGCAAAATTACATTTCCCGGGCGCATACGGACAGTGGCACTGGGGCCTTGGGTGGAGCCCCTTATTGGGCCACGAAGCGCTGCACTGGGTAGGTGAAAATGCCAAATTGGGCTTCCGGGACGCATGCGGACGGGGGCACTGGGGGCTTCGGTGGAGCTCCCTATGGGGCCACGAAACGTTGTACTGGGTGGGTGAAACGCAGGGAGGAGGAGGAGGAGGAGGGCCACGAAACGCTGCACTGGGTGTGTGGGACGCACGCGGATGGTAGCGCTGGGACCTTCGGTGGGGCTCCCTATGGGGCCACGAAGCGCGGCACTGGGTGTGCGGGACGCATGCGGACGGTAGCGCTGGGACCTTCGGTGGGGCTCCCCATGGGGCCACGAAGCGCTGTACTGGGTGTGCGGGACGCATGCGGACGGTAGAACTGGAACCTTCGGTGGGGCTTCCTATGGGGCCACGAAGCGCTGTACTGGGTGGGTGAAACGCAGGGAGGAGGGGGAGGAGGGCCACGAAACGCGGTGCTGGGTGTGCGGGACGCATGCGGACGGTAGCACTGGGACCTTCGGTGGGGCTTCCTATGGGGCCACGAAACGCTGTACTGGATGGGTGAAACGCAGGGAGGCGGGGGAGGAGGGCCACGAAACGCTGTACTGGGTGTGCGGGACGCATGCGGACGGTAGCACTGGGACCTTCGGTGGGGCTCCCGATGAGGCCTCGAAACGCTGTACTGGGTGTGCGGGACGCATGCGGACGGTGGAGAGGAGGAGGGGGAAGGGGAGGAAGAGGAACGCGGGGACCGTCTCTTCAAAATGAGGACCCAAAACCACAGGATGGTTGGGAACTAAGAACCCTAGTGGGGGCACCCTCCCCGAAACGACCTCGATCTTAGACCTCGGGCCGATTGAACTTTTTGAGCAGGGACCGACCGCCCCGGCACTCGTATGGGCCAACCACACATGTTCTAAGAACAACAGCGCTGTTCTTAGAACACGTTCCCGGTGTGTTAAAGCGAGACAGCATCAGCCAGAAATGTTCTAAGCAAATTTCGTGCAGACCACAAACGGTTCTTAGAACATTCGTTGGTGGCCCTGTAGGCACGCCAAGACGCTTCGCCAGTGCTTGAGCTCATTCCCACCGCCGACGAGCCACGGGCGACGACGCAGACCAGCGCCGCGGCAGACGCCCCGCGGCGAGGCCTGGCCACGGGGGGCGCCGCCACGCTCGGCCGCGAGAAGGCGGGCATGCGCGTGTTGACCTGCGGCCGCGGGGCCGGGCGGGGAGAGGACAGGACCCCAGGCCCCCCCAGAGTGACGACCACATCGTTCTTGCTCGCTGTGCTTGCTAGTCTGGCTTGAAACATCTCGGCGTGAAGTTTCCCGCTGTTTTCGGATCGTGGGAACATCTCGGCGTGAAGTTGGTCGTTATTTTCGGCTTCTGGGGGCCGTCGCCAGGCCCGGGACTGCCGAAAAACGGCGCGAATCAAAAGCCAGTCCCGAGAAATGGGTCCAGACCTATGGAAGGGTCGACGTTCTGACAAAATCATGACGTCGGGGACCATTGACGTGGGAGGGGTTCTTATGGAGGTCTCCAGGCGCTACAAGCGACCCACCACGATGCAGGAGGATGCGCTCGAGGGGATGGGAAGGATGGAGCGATGAGGGGAGGGGGGGGAGGGGGGGAGGAGGAAGGGGGATGGATGGGAGCAAGAGGCATAAGAGGCTATAGTGGGATGTGGAGGGAGTGGAGAGGGGCTCAGGGGAGGCCAGGGACGAGAATGATAGAGGAGGAGGAGGAGGAGGAGGAGGAGGAAGAGGAGGAGGAGGCGATGCCACGACTTCGCCGGCTGCTCCTGGGGGCCGGTGCTGAGCACTCTCGGGGGCTGCGCGGGCCCGCTCACGCGGTCGGAGACTCGCGGCCCTCCAGAAGAGGGCAGCGGAGGTGGGAGAGGATCAGGAATGAGGTGAGCTCGAGTGCGGGCTCGAGCTCGGCTCGGGCTGGGGCTTGGACTCAGGCTGGGTCTGGGGCTGGGGCTCGGGCCCAGGCTTGCGGGGGGGGGAGATCGATCTGTCCGTGCGCTGCCAGCCTGGGAACTGGCGCAAGGCCTCACTGCCAAGCGCCGGCCATTCCGGGATCAGTCGTTCCTGGGCCAGGGCGCCGAACAACGGCGCTCCTGGCGCTGCGGCCGGAGCCCGCAGCATGCTTGCTATACCTGGGAGGGCCAGGGCGACACGACTCCAGTCGGCGATACGACACCACTGCTCTGCGCGAGGAGGGAGGCCTTGACCTGCTCCAATCGGCGGAGGGACTCGGAGCGGAGAGGGAGGGGGCGGAGGATGAAAGCGGGGGGAACCTCGCGCTGTGGCAAAACAAAGTCGGATGGCGTTGTCCCGTCCCGACCCTCTGGAGCCCCACTGATCGATCTGGCTTCCTGAACAAAGCTAGGCTCAAGGGCTCTGGCCGCCATTGGTGTCGCAACGCCCCTGGAGCGCTCCCTGCCATCGACGACGACGAGCAACGAAGATATCGATGGTGAAGACAATCGACGACCAACCACGACGTACGACGGACAACTGGAGGCAGACGACGTCGTCTTCGAACCTCGGATGACGGTCGACAGAGGACGGACGACGACGATGACGACGACGGACGATCATGACACTTGACGTCGGCGACGACGGACGGCGGCGACGACGACGGGCGGCGCTAGCGGGAGGGTCGACCGGCGATGGCTTCGGGACGGAGTCGGACGCCTACGCAGCCAGCGCTGCCTCCTCTGACTGTCCCTCCTCCTCCTCCTCCTCTCCTCCTCCTCCTCCTCCTCCTCCTCCTCCTCCTCCTCCTCCTCCTCCTCCTCCTCCTCCTTCCCTCCTCCTCCTCCTCCTCCTCTCCTCCTCCTCCTCCTCCTCCTCCTCCTCCTCCTTCCCTCCTCCTCCTCCTCCTCCTCCTCCTCCTCGTCCTCCTCCTCCTCCTCCTCCCTCTGCCTCCCCCCTCCCTAATCCACGCTTGCGCCTCCTTGATTGAGGCAGCCCTGGAGAAGAGCACCTCGGCGGCCCAGACCGCGACACGCGACCCGCGACCATCTTCGCGCCCCTCTGCGGGTGGCCTGGGCACAGTGAAAGCTGATAGTCAGGATGCGCGGTGGCCTTGCAGGCCCCCGCGCTTCAGACGTCTTCCGTGCTCTCCCCCAGGAGCCTCCCAAGGGGGGAGCGGCCCCCCCAGGGCGCCACGGGCCTGATCCGCCTTCTGCAGCTCCCGTCGGCGCGCGCCCCAGCAGGGGCCCGTGGCGATCGATGTTTTGGGGCGGAGAGGATGGACGAGTACAGTAAGGGCCCGACCATAAGAAACCTTCCGCAAGAAACCCAAACATGAGACCCCAGGACAACCACTGATTTCTGGTGTGGGAGCGCCACGCTCTCCATGGCAAGGCCATCGAAACCCAAGAAACCCAGGGCACCCTGGAGGCAAGCAGGGTGTTTCTGGGCCGAACAGGCCAGGTTGGGCCGAACAGGCCAAGGACAGGGGGCCGAGCCGCACGAGCGGGCACAAATGCGTGGGCAGCCCTGGACGGGCCATCCTTGCTGCCACCGTGGGCCGAAAGCCCCCCCCCGTCCTCCTCCTGCTCAAAAGCTTCTGTGTCCGAATCCCGTTATGTCTTCCTCCTCCTTCTCCTCCTCCTCCTCCTCCTCCTCCGCCTCCCCGTATCTATGATCGATGCTAATGCTACGGTGCCAACGATGCAAACGCTCGCCGATGCCAAGGGTGATTTCCTCTTTTTGCTCTCCGGTGCCAGCGCTACGGTAATTATCACGGTCCCATCCTCGATTGGAAGTACAGCCGCTGAGGGTGATACTGTTTGCAGTACATGTTTCAACATCTACTTCAAGACAATCGATTTGCTTGCCATCCACGTTCGTCGGGGTGCGGGTTGGTCAACAGACAGGGTTCTATCCTGGCGCGTTGTTGTCCAAACCAACAGGTCAACACTGCTGATGTACCTATCCGGTCGTTGCCGCGTGCACCTGGGTGTAAAGTCAATCATGACAGCGGGCTGCCTCTAGCCAATACGACCACTTGATTTGATGGCACAACTGCATTTTGGCACTCCCGTCCCACATGTTCGAAAGAAACAATACTGCACTGCATGTAACAAAACGCCCGCTTTGGAGTCTAAGCTGTTCCGGAACCCGACATGGCCCCAACGACTGCATGTCTAGCCAGGTTTCCAATATTGGTTTGTCAGATGGCGCGAAGAAAGGTGTTTTACGTGCTGTTTGCGGGCGTCGCCGAACTTTGCGGAGAGTCCGTGGACCTGATACACAGTCATGGCGATGTGCCGTGATCAAAATTTGGCTGACAGCCTGTGCGACGGACAAAGCAATTTTGACGACGGTCGCATTCCTAGCCAGCATTCCCAGGTTTTGCCTGCTGCGGGACGTGTTGGGCAGCAAACTCAAGGAAACTTGCAATGCCTGCTTGGTGATTGTCTTGTGCATGTCAGCCTGATGCCCCAAAAGGCACGGCGACGTACACAACGCTCATTGTTAGAATGTCCGCTCGTTTAATGTTTAGTTAATTGTGTTTCCACGTCATCCCTGCGACCATGCCGCACATTGCGTGGACACTTCACCTGCGCGCCGCTGTTCGGGGCAACTTTGGGGCCACCGCCTCGCCTCAATGGCCGGCACATGATACGCATCTCCATGACACACGCCCACGAAGTCGCTTGTAAACAAAAAAACGCCATGCCCGCACGTAGCAGCGCACGCCAAACTTCCGCAACACAGCGAAACCTGCAGGAGCTCCCTGCCAGGCAAATGTGCAAGACCAATGCCACGAGCGAGAGAAAAAGTCCTGAGGCCAAAGCCGAAAGGCGCGTTCGGACCAGGGCGGGACGCGCGCGGGCCGAACTGTGCCGAGTAGGGCGCCCAGAGGCGATCGACTGGCGCCAAGGCCGTCAATCACGGACCAACGAGGGCCCGCGGGCGCCGCCCGAAAATCCGCCGACACTGTCGGCGTGCGGCAGAGGCTTCTCCGTCTGCCTCCTCCTCGTCGTCGTCCTCGTCCTTTCCCTTTTCCCACAGCGTCTTCTCCTTTTCTGGGGCCTCCTCCTCAAGCGTGTCGGTCCAAACCGAAATTGAGCAACGTTGTCATTGAGTCGAAGGGAAGCCCCTTCCCTTTGATCCTTTCCCCGGCGCGGGGGGGGGGTCCCGGGGGAGGACCCGGGGGAAGACCCGGGGGAGGACCCGGGGGAAGACCCGGGGGAGGACCCGCGGGAAGACCCGGGTCAGATACGCAGCCCCCCCCCTGAAGATGACCTCCAAGATCGCTCATGTAGCCCTCGATGGCTCCAGATCGCTCCCAAGAAGCCTACTAGAGGCTCGAAGATTGCGCCAAGACGTCTCCAAGTAGACATGGAAGCTTCCAAGAACGCTCCCGAGATGGCTCCAGGTAGCCCCTGAGCCTCCCAAGGACGTTCCCGAGAGGCCAAGCTCATTGATTCCCGATGGGAAAACGTACAATTTTGGCATATACGACTTGTCGGCCTTTACGGCGTTGAAGACAATCCAAGAAGCCTCCAAGAAGGCCCCAACACGGCTCAAGAGGCTCCCAAGAGGCACCCAAAACGGCCCAAGAAGGCGCCAAGACGGCCCAAGAGGCTACCAAGACGGCCCAAGAGGGACCCAAGAGGGGCCCAAGACTGGGAGCCCGAACCAAAAATCCGAGCCTTCCGCCTCAAGATGCTCCCTTGAGGCCCCAAGAGGCCCCCAACAGGCCCCAGGAGACCCCGAAGAGGCCCCCAAGAGGCCCCAAGAGGCCCCCAAGAGGCCCAACAGATGCCCCCAGAGACACCAAAACGGCCCCCTTCTCCACCTCCTCCTCCTCCTCCTCCTCCCCTCCCTTGCTCCCCTCCTCTTGCTCCTCGTCTGCCTCCTCCTCCGCTTAGGAACAGCTCAGCGCTGAGCCTGAGCTACGCAATCAAGCCTGGTGATGCATCCAGGAATCCGCCGACCCTGTCGGCGTGTGGGAGAGGCTTTTCTGTCTTCCCCACAGCGTCGTCGCCTCTTCTGCTTTCCGAGGGCTCCCTACACAAGTCCACACAAAAATTTGACAACGTCGTCCTTCAGTCGAAGGGAAGCCCCTTCCCTTTGATCCTTTCCCCGGCGCGGGGAGGGGGGGGTCCCGGGGCAACTCCCGGGGTGGGTCCCCCCTCGGATACGCAGCCACCCGCCTCTTATCCTCCTGCGTCCTGGGGCTCCGTTGGCCCTCCGGGGCCGTCTGTGGGCCCTTTCAACCTATATTGAGGCTCCTTGGAGACCTTTCAAAATTTTTAGACTCGCTTGACGCCGTCTTGGAACCCTCTCGGGCCATTTGAGGGCGCTCTTTGCCTATCTCGGCACTCTCTGGAGCCTTTCCCGAACCCTGGAGGAGGCCTCTTGAGCTGTCTTCGGACGGCATTGCAGGCATCTGGCGCCGTCTTCGAGCCATCTGAGGGCATATTGAACTCCTCTATTACCTCCATTGTCTTCGTCGTCGCTGCCTACAGGGTCGGCGGCATCGGCAGTAAGGCCTTCGCAATCCTTGTTCCGCACATACCGAGCATATGCCTGGCAGATGCCGGCGCGCGATTCGCACAACTCGCGGCGCAAAATCGGGCATTCATAAATGCAGGAAGGGGCAAGGACTGGGAGGAACGGAAAAGGCTGGGAGGGGCGGGTGCCCTGGGAGAAAAATCAAGATTTTGCACGGTCCCCGCCGGACGGCTGAAATGGCCCTGAAACGAGCAAGCGTCCCCCTCCTTCTCCTCTCCTTCTCCTCCTCCTCGTCCTTCTCCTGGCAAGCTGAAGTCGCAAGAGGGCGTCGGACGCCGCACCCCCCCTCGAAGGTTGCTGCGCGCCCCCCCTCCTTTTCCCCCTACTCCTCCTTTTCCCCCTCCTCCTCATCCTCCTCCTTTTTCTCCTCCTCCTCCTCCGCCTCCTCCTCCTCGTCCTCCTCTTCATTATCATCAACATCATCATCACCATCATCATACCACTACCGTCATCATCAACATCATCACCAGCATCAGCATCAGCATCAGCATCAGCATCATCATCATCATCGTCATCGTCATCGTCATCGTCATCAGCATCAGCATCAGCATCAGCATCATCATCATCATCATCATCATCATCATCATCATCATCATCAGCATCAGCATCAGCATCAGCATCAGCATCAGCATCAGCATCATCATCATCATCATCATCATCATCATCATAATCAGCATCATCATCAGCATCAGCAGCATCATCATCATCCCCTCCCTCTGCTCCCCCTCCCCCTCTTCCTCCTCCTCCTCCTCCCCCTCCTCCTCCCCCTCCTCCTCCTCCTTCTCCTCCTCCTCCTCCTCCACCTCCTCATTCTCCCCCATGCGGCGCTGTGACAACATGTGCGGCCGCGCGTGGCCGTGCACCCCCTTGCGGCCGCGAGAGGCGCCATGCGCGGGCATGTGCACTCGTCCGCTAAGAGGTGCGCGGCCATGTGAGGCGGTGCGGGGCGGGGGCAGGGGGGCATGTGCGGCCTCCTGTGCGGAGCTGTGCGGGCATGTGCGGCCGCGCGCGTCACGGCCACGATTTGTGCCATGTGCGGGCGGCATGTGCGGCGCCATGTGCGGACATGCGCGGGCAGCGCTGGGGCAAGCAGCTGCGGCGTGGGCACCAACTGTATCGCCCGATGCATGTAACACTGCTCATACACACGCACATTCGCGTATCGTTGCAGCCAACGCTCAAGGGTGGGGGCCGAACGAAAACAATGGTGGAACATCTCATAGCGCATGCCACCACACGTGGCCGCACATGTGCACACGCCCCTGGACCATAACGCGCAAGTATCAAACACATCCGCATATGCGGGGCACATGCCACGCACATGCCCGCACAACGAGCGCACATGCCCTAGACTGGCACCAAGATCGCGAGTCCTGTGTACCAGGTTGTCTGCAGTCTTGGGAGACTCCCTTGGTACAGTCAAGGCCCTCGCTGACCCAAAGTCCTGGACTGGCTTGGCGCTGGTGTGTTATTAGGGTACAGGCTCTGCAGCATACTCTCCAGGCCCCTCAACAAGGATGTTGAATGCAAGTCTTGGAAAGTTGTGGACGTGGCTCGTCACGAGCTCGCCACGTCAACGTCGGATGTCTGGTCGGCCAGACACCGTGGGGAATACGTTTCCTGAGTTGAAACGTTTGGGCACCGCGGGCAAAAGAACATCGCCAATCTGAACTTCTTCGTGTCATTCAGGGGCCCGATGGCTTGCTGGCTCCGCAGTCAACGAACGAACGAACTCTGGCTAGAACACTTTGCTGCACAATGGTTATCAAATTGGAAAACGCGGCGTTCACGGATTTGTTTCAAGGCAAGGGCGTCTCAGCTGAGAGCCTTGCCCGTGCCCTTGGCAACGTATCTACCTGGCCAGGTGTGTCCAGGAAGCGTTGTGCTTAACAAAGAAACGTACGAGTGGTGCGGATAGTCTGTATGGCAATGTTGCGCACGCGTGTTCCAATTACCTGGCTCTCACCTATTATCAACTGGTCGTCACGACCTCCGCGATGATTTCAGAGCCGCTCCAGTGGAATGGGGGACGACTTATCTAGAATACCCAAGGCACGTGGTGACATCTGTTCCACTATTGCATCTAGATCACTTATGATGGGGTCGAGTACTGGTAAGAACATTCAGCATTACACATTTGCCTACTCAAGAGACTTATGCGGGCAATGCAGACTGCAGTAGGTTCTCATTAATATTCAGGCGTGCCAGGTATGGGTAAACAACAGGTGCTCTTAGCCAAAAGAGTGCTGCAGAGGTCTGCGTGACGAGTCGGCCAGCCTCTGCTTGTGCTTTCCCTTGCTGAGGTGATTAATGCTTCCTACATGGCCAACCGAGAGTTGGTGCTTAAGACGGGCCCCTCCCCACAATCGCTCCAGAAGCTGCTCCAACAAGCTGGCCTGCCATGGCCATCCCTTCCCCTTCTTGTCCAACGCTTGCATGAGCTCCATTCCTGACGAAAACAGGATGAGAATGGCCACTTCAAGGCGATGCTGGAGGAGGCATGTCGATTAGTTCTGGCTTCAGTTTCCAAGGACATCGAGGATTGTCGTTGCGTTCAAGGAAGCGCGTCCAGGGACCTCTTTCGGGGATGCTGCATTCCTGTTTGTCATTGCCGAGGTCAATAACGTGGTTGCCAAGGCGCTTTCCGTGTTGGGTCTCTCCTTCCCGCTTATTTCGCCATCCCCAAGCAGCATGCTTCAAGCCGACGATGCAGGACAGGAAGTCGAATTTCCAAGCCTGGTGAATGCAGTCGGTCCATTGTTTGCGATGCTGGCGCCACTTAGCGTGGCCAAAGAGAATATCATGGACTTCTGCCTTGTTGCGCTAGATGCATCTAATCTTGTTGGCATGACCCCACACCTCAAGGCAGGCAAAACCGAGTTGATGTTGCATCTCACTGGCCCTGTGTCCGCACACTCTCCATGGCATGCGCTTCACAACTTGGCCCAAAAGGTTACCAATCAGATCGTTGCTATGCAGAGGGGAGGGGAATTTCAGTGGTTAGATCAGCTGTACATCTGGGCTCCGTGGTGGCTCACAGAGCTTTCTTGAGCCCCGAGCTGGTCCATAGAGAAGCTGATTACAGGTTTCAGCTATCTGTGCTAAGCAAGGCCTTCAAGAGGGCCACCAACGGTTCCTCAATCCCAAAACTGATTTTCGCAGATTCGCTTGTGCTTAATTCGGCTGTGTATGGTGCGGGCACTTGGTATAGCCGATATAGAGGGCATTTGACAAGTGCAGGTGGACAACATGTTACACAGTACCGACGTGTCCTCCGCCTCCCCTGCTTTCAAGCAAGTGTGCCGTCGGATGAGCATGTCATGGCTGCTGCGTGTAGGCCAAGTATCACCGTGGTTCTAGTGAACGTTTCCTTACTCGGCCTTTCGACATTGGGCGGAAGGGACGGGGGAGGGGGGTGGTCTGTCTCCGGATCTCTGCTTGATGTGACTGTTTGCAACAGTGCGTCCTATGGGGGAAACTTCACCTGCTTGAAACACCCAAGATATACTCCACAGGGGGGTTGAGGGGGTGCGAAGGCACGCGCCGATCGGCAAAACAATGAATACGAAAACGAGCTGCCAGACTCCGATGTTTGTTCACAAGTTCTTGCACCGGCTCCTCGACTGCGTCCTGCGCCTTTGCATACCGTATACAAGCAGGCCCATGACAGGGCTAAACACAAATCCTGGCTACCCCAAATCCTGGACGACTTCGCCCGGCTGAGGTTCTGCCACCACGCTTTCCAGGACATGCCTCTACCGTCCCCAGATCCAGGATTGCAAAAAAAACAAAGATTGCATTTTTTTTTTGCAATCCACGCTTTCCAGGACATGCCTCTACCGTCCCCAGATCCAGGGGCCTGGGGTACGCGACCCTCGAGGGGAGAAGGTGGTGAGGGGGAACGGTGATGGGGGGGGGCGGGGCCAGCTTCGCTCGGTGCTGGGCAGGGTGGGCTAGCATGCCCCCGTCGCCAATCAGTGGGCGATGGGGGGGCATGGACAGCATCAGTGACACGCCGCCGTGGGGAACCCCTCAGCGTGTGACTGTTGGAGAACCTAACAACCCAGGAGCAACACGCTGACGGGCTCCCAACCGGCAGCGTGTCATTGACGCTCTTCCTCCCTCTGGACCTGAGCCCGTCCCTGCCCCTGCTGGATGCCAGGCCACACAACTCGGACCTCTTGCGCGGCTGTTCTCGGCGATCTGGGCGCAATCCCGCAACGCTCTCTCGGCGAGGGAGGCCGCACCGCCGAGAACCGAAGAGAGCGCCCAGAAGACTCAGACCTCGAACTTCGAGGACCCCCCTACTAAGCCTGGAGTAGGGACTTGACCACAGGAAGCCTTCCAGAAGAAGCCCAGGACGTACATTGATCTTTGGTATGGGAACGTCGCACTCTCAATCGCAAAAACATCGACACCCGAGAAACCCAGGGCACCCTGGAGGCGTCACGATCTCGCTCATAATCTGGACCTCCAGCGGTATGGACCCATCCCCTAGGACAGGCCTTTTATCCCGAACCGTCTCTTGACGGCCCCGAGGGCCGGCAAGGGCACCCCGAGGCCGAACATAGCGAGAACCCTCCCGCAGTGATTTCTGTCATGACTCGAAGAGGCCTGGGCTGGCAGCCCTGGGGGCACCTTGGGCCAGAACGCCTCCCGTCATGACTTCGCTCAGCCTGAGATCCGACGTTCTGGAAAAATTGAAACACCGCGAAAATCACGACTAAAGTCCTTGACCCCATCTGTCTGCGTCATTTTTCGCGCCGTCTCGAACTGTGAGGGCCCCAGGGCCCAGAAAAAAACGAAAACACGCGATGCTCGAAAACATTGAGATGCCCGCGGTGGTCTGCGAGCGCTGTTCATGACCCCGGAGGGGGTCTGACTCCTCCTCCTCCTCCTCCTCCTCCTCCTCCTCCTCCTCCTCCTCCTCCTCCTCCTCCTCCCCCTCCCCTTCCTCCTCCTCCTCCTCCTCTTCCTCCTCCTCCTCCTCCTCCTCCTCCTTCTCCTCCTCCTCCCTCCTCCTGCTCCTCCTCCTGCGCTGCCCCCGCGAACCCTCCAGCGGAGGCGCGCTGGCGGCGGGCCCCACCTCGGCGGGCCCCGCCGCGGCAGCCGCGGGCGCCGCGCCCTCCGCGCCCGCGTCCCCCGCCGGGCCCTCTGGGTCAACGTCGGGGTCCCCCGCGGCGGGCCCTGGGCGACGGAGGGGCCTTTTCCTCATTCTCGTCCTCCTCCTCCTCCTCCTTGTCCTCGTCCTCGTCCTCGTCCTCGTCCTCGTCCTCGTCGTCGTCGTCGTCGTCGTCCTCCTCCTCCTCCTCCTCCTCCTCCTCCTCCTCCTCCTCCTCCTCCTCCTCCTCCATTCCGCTTCCATATAAACCACTTCTCCCTATCGCACCCCAAAGCCTGTTTGTAGAGCGGGCCGGGCGTTTCGCCTGAGACTTCCTCACCACTTATGACCCTGAAGCTTAAAACACGACAGCAGTTTCACAGATGGAGAGCGGGTCGTTTAAAACGTGGCTCTCGCCTTGGAGCCGCGCGCTTTCGTTTTCAAAACATGTGTAAGAGCTTCACGGATTGACGGCGGCTCCTTTTCAAAATGTGGCTCTCGCCTTGGAGCCGCGCACATTCGTTTTAAAGACATGTGTAAGAGTTTCACGGATTGACGGCGTTTTTTTTTTAATGTGGCTCTCGCCTTATCGCCGCGCACTTTGTTTTTGAACGTTTGCAAGTTTCACGGAGTCCCATGGTCAACGTACGAGAATTGCTGTCTTGGAAGGATTCAAGCTTATGTGGGTGCAACAGTTATGTCGATTCGCTGTGTTGAAGTCTCCAAAATGGCGTTCTGGTACGATTCAGGATCGTCATGGCGCAGCGGTCAGGTTAATATGTAGCGTTGAACTCCCGAGAACACTGTATTGGCAAGCTTCAGAATATTCAAACGGTTGTCTTCCAACGAGGCAGTTCCCTCAATGGAACTGAACCATTGTAGGACCTATGAAGAGGGAGCTTGGAGGGAGGGCAAATTCCAACATCGCTGATGACTCTTAGGTTTACACTGGTTCCCCTCCCCTCCCCTCCTCCTCCTCCTTCTCCTTCTCGGCGCAACCTGGGGGCGGGCAGAGTCTGTCCACCGCCAGCAGTGAAAGCAGGGCCGAAGGCGCACCTTACAACCGCCTTCGGCCCCGCTGGGCGGACACGGCTCCCTCGACCAGGCGAAGGCCCACGGGCGTAGAAAACCTAGACACCCGCCGTGGCCTCCTGGACAGGGAGCCTGACCAAGGACTGAACTCGATAGACCTTGCCATTGAGCCTGAATTCACCTTTTTCGCAAGCCTCTTCAAAGTCTTGCGAGCGTGGTCCGTGACCTCGGATGGGCACGGGCTTGCCAAACCAGAAAGCCTCGACAAGGCGAAGCAAGCGCAACGCGTGCATCCAACCACGAGCGGTCCACCTGACAGCTGGAGCTTAGCAAGGGCATGCATCTTGCCTGAGCAGCTCGCCTGAGCGGCTCGAACTCGACTCTCCAAATCAGTGGGGACGGGATCCTGGACGAGAACCAAATGGGGCACTGGGGGCAAGCCGCGAGCATGCTTCTTGGGGTGTCCACAGTCCTCGAGCCCCCCGGAAAGACGCCCGATCCAGGAGCCCCAGACATGCAAGACTTTGCTTCGGGCCTGAAGCTGGGCGATGGCAGCCTCCGAGACCCTAGCAAAAGAGGCAGCACTCTTAGCAGCCTCATCAGCCTTAGCACTGCCGTAGCGGTGACGCGCAGAGGTGCCACGCCCTGACTGCGCATCAACCAGGGTCGCGTGACCCTTGATTTTGCTAATCTCAATCCCCCCACCCCAGTCATCCACCAGCCTCCAGAACTCCTTCCAGAGATGAGCGCGCGCAGAAACACACGCACGTGTAGCCTCTGGGCCACGCACATGGAAACCATCGGCCACAAAGGCCGAATCCGTGAAGACACGCACAGGCGGAGTCGCGAAGCGGAGAACATTGATGACTGCAACAAGCTCAGCAGCGTTGATGCACTGCAGTGGATCCAAGAGCGGTCCTGAGCAAAAAGAAAGAACTTCCTGACGGCCCTGATGCAATGCAACGCACCCCCAGCCCGCACTGGCCAGACTGGGATACTGAGCCTCGAAAACGGAACCGTCAGTATATATATATATATCCCCCGTGAACTCAGAGGGCCCTCCAAGCCCCCCAACAAATTGGAGACCCAGGAGGACGGCGGCTCAGGGGTGGGAATGGCACAAGACAACGCTCGGCGAAAAGCGAAGCCAGCACAGAAGTAGTAGCCGCAGCCTCGGCTGCAGCTAAAAAAACTGGGCTTGCCCTCGAGGCTATCTAAGCGAGAACAAGAGCAGTGCCGATGCAGCAGGGCCCCCTCCTGCAGAGGACAGAGAAGACAAGAGGGAGTCGTACCATAACCCGCGGCCCACTGCCTCTTCTGCGGCCGCTGCCCACCGATGACCGTGCTGCGGAGGTGGCCCTGCTGCTGGGCCGACAATTTACTCTTGCTGCCAAGGAGGGCCTTCAAGGGTCCCAAGATCAGACCGTTGGCGAAGTCCTCTACCTCGGGATGTTCCGCGACCCTACGATACTGCCAGGCCTCCACGGCACGAAACACGAGCTCCTGAACAGTGACGGGGCAATAGTTCATCGGGTTGACGTCGGCCCCATCAGGCCAGACCCAGGACGAGGACGAAGTAGCAATGATACCCACACGCCTGAGCGAGGCCCACAGGGCGCAAAGGGGGCCCCTAATGGAGGACCAAGGGTGCTCCAGCCCCGAAAGGTGCTCGTGGGCCTCACGGAGCCCAAAATCCAAGGCCTCATGGGGTAACCAACGGTGCCAGAGCGCATGGAGGTAGAACTTCACGGGCAACCAAGTGGCCCTAAAGATGGGGTCCAAGCGGGGCACTGGGGAAAGAAGAAGGCTCAAAGTCCTAGACTTGCCGTCCTGACGGTGGTTCTGCAGCTTACCAGCCGCGCCTCGAAGAACCTCCAACTCCTGCCCGTTGGTACCCATGACGGACGCCCCGAAAAGGACCGACGACTCCAGAGCAGCTCGAGCCATACGCCCGAGCTCGCGGCGACGAGGCTTGGAACCTTTAAGGAAACCCATTCGGACCATCCTAGGCCTCATGCAAGCGACGCGCCCACGGACCGTGCCCCGACTAGCCACCCTGCCCGAGCCGTAGTCCACGCCGAGATTACGCTCTCAGACCTGACGGGCAGGGGTTGGAGGCTCTTCAACTTGGCTGCAATGGAAGCGCGAACCGCAGGGAAATTGCTCAAGACGCGAGACTTGTCGAGAGCGAACTTTAAGTCGACCTGGCGCAGCTGCTGCATCAGGTGCTGGCCTGCGGCGGTGATGTCACCGACCACGCGGGACTCGGTGCCCCAGCGCATGAGGCCAAACTCGTCAACGTTGACGGACAGCTGCACGGCAGGGCAGGCAGCCTGCACGGCATCCAAAGGGCCTAAGAGAACCAATTGCAGCATACAAGTGGCAAAAGTATATCAGGCACAATCGTTTGCTCAACACTAAGGGGAGACCCAACAGCACCCCCAACATCAAGGATGCGCGGAGCGCGATAGATTTGGACCAAGAGATACAACTGCCGCAAAGGAAAGCTAGTGGCCGCCGCGGCGGCCAGCAAATCATGATGCTGAACAAGCTCGAACGCCTTCTTTAAGTCGAGCAACAAAGTGGCACACGTACGATCCTTATAGGTAGAGTCTCAGACCAGGCCGCCTGGATCCAAACGCATTTCTCAGAAGCCTTACCGCGGGTGCTCCAAAAGAGAGCCCTGAAGTTGGCGGCCTGCCACTTTCTGATGAGAGGACTTCTCAAGCGACACTGGACCCTAGCCAAGACGTGCAAAAGCCCCAAAGGCCTGACACCACCCGTCCTCTTAAGAATGAACACGATACGGTTCCACATGCTGGGCCACTCACGCTTATGCTCAATGTGGTGCACAATGTCGCACAGAGCCTCGAGAGCGGCAGGCGGCAACAGCAGAAGAGGGCGAGGGGGGATCTGATCGAATCCCGTGCCAGACGAGGGCTTGCAAGACTTGAGAGCTCGCACGAGCTCGGCCCCCGTGGGCCGCGGATGGGGGGTCCCCGAGCTCCGGCCAATGGAGAGGCTGGTGCTCAACCCCGACTTGCCACCAACGCTTCCACTCGTCTTCGAGAGCTTCGATCGACTCGAGCGAAGTGCAGGGTCGAAGAGTGCCGTGACAGAGGGGGGCAGGCTGAAAGGGAGCGGGGGGGGCCGACAACTTATACAGAGCGGACATGCCACCAGAAGAATGCTTGTCAACCCAACTCCCCCATTCACGTTCCCTGGCCTAAGCGCAGGCCTGTTGAAGCCGCGTCGCCTCGCGGCTCGCAAGGTCGGCGAGGCGCCGCGCCGACTCCACCGGGGCGAACAAAACCTGCCCCGGCATCGCCGTCCAAGCGGCGATCTCGGCCGTCTCTGGCAGACGGTGAAAGCGAGAGAGGCGCCCAGCAGCTGCGACAAGCTGCGACCTGTGGGCGCCAGCAGGCGACCTACTGAGATCGGCCAGCACATCTTGAACCTTGCGCCACCAGCAGGCAAGAGGAGACAACTTAGGGAACCGAGGGGGGTTGGGGGCCGACGGGGTTTTCCACTTGACCTGAAGCGGCTTGTCCCCCCCCCCCCACATACTCAGCACACTGGCCCCCGGAAATCTGAAAAAGTTAAAGCCACTGGCCTTCGGCAGCCCTGAGAAAAGCGCCCCACTTATCCTGGATCTGGAGATCAGGATCCGAGCACAGCTCCCCGACGTGGTCCCAGGGGTCAACCCCAGGAGGGGGTCCAAGACAACCGATGGGCAACTCCGTGGGGAACCTCCTAGGGACCTGAACGAAACGAACACTACACAGGGGCTCGACCGAGGGGAGGACGAACCGAACAGGGAGGTGGGGAGAGATGGGGACGTTCTGGACAACTTCAGCCCTAGCCTGACCTGCAATCTGGCGCGAAACCACGAAGTAGTCGATGCAGCGCATGGCGGGCCTGCACGTGCCCTCCGTAGGCGCCGCGATGACGGCGTCGAGAGCATCGACCCACGACGTCTTGACTAAATCGCTTGGGGTGCAATTCCAATCGCCACCGACGATGAAGGGCATGCCAGCAGCCTTGAGCCTGGCTC